CACGACGTCTCTCTTGAATGGCGAGGTAATTATTTGTTTAGGGTTTAGGGTTTAGGGGTTAGGGTTTATGGTGGGATTTCTTGAGAAAGAATTGTAATGGCTTTCATATCGGTTAGATTTGATAAGAGTGCTTTCGTCGTGTTGCTGTTACGGTCTGGTTTGATTTGACCTGCGCGTTCGATTTTGTTTTTTTCTTGAGTTATTGAGATATTCTGCGGGACTTTTTTTTTTTTTTTTTTGGTTTCTGTTTAGCTGCGTAAGTTGATAGTTCTTTTGCGGTAGTTTTATTCAAATTTCAGTGAATTGTTTGACGGTTAGATAGCTGAGGATCAAGAATTCTAGCAAGGTTTGTGGTTTCTGGATTTATTTTTATTTTTATTTTTATTTTTAATTTGATCTGTATCTGTTTGAACTGGTATATTTATTGGTAAGGCCCTTTCAATGTTTTTTTTGAAATTATTTATTTATTGTTGTACTGTCTTGTTTGACTGAACCAGTGTGCTCTGCTTTGTTTGTATGTTAAATTACTCCGGATTTTTTAATTTTTAAGTTTTGGAAGTTGGCAGTGCTTGATTTTCCCTGAAATTATGTTTCAGATTGAAGGATTGTATAAGTGTGTTGCGAATTATTACCAACGGTGATCTTTTGGTGACTTCTTACAGGTGTTTTCTTGCGGTGGTTGATTGATGGAAGATTTACGTACATATCACTCAATTCCTATGGATTTAGATATCTAACACCAAAACTTCAATTTTTACATACCTGCCACCTTACTATGCATGAAAGGGTTTATTTCACTTTTTGGAAGTAAAAAATGGTGGTATTTTTTATGTGATATGAAAAATTTGGGTGGTATAAATTTAAGAAGTAAAGTTTAGGTGTAAGATATGTAAATACATAGGAATTGGGTGGTATGTATGTAAATGCCCCTATGTTTTTGTTTGTGATATTTTGATGTATTGCTTTATATTTGAATATTCACAACTTGAGGCATTCTTTATTTTCCTTCGTGATTAGAATTATTACTATTTGGTCTGGTAAGGCTATGCTATAATTTTATATTGCAAGAAAAGGATTCATATTTTAAAGTAATAATTAATGATATTTTTCGTATTAGGAATCGTCGAGCCATCCGTTATCTGACCTTGAGCATGGTGATGCAGTTCAGGTGACCATGTTATTTGTTTTCCTTGATCATCCTTTGTGTTTTTTGAATTCTATTTACCTTAAAACTTCGGTGGATTACGTAATTTGATCTCTGTTGCATATGTTGCTACAGCCTGCAAATGTTGGGTTCTGTAGAGTTCTAAGGCTGGTAAGTCATGGCCCTTTAAATTATTTCCCTTTATATACTTAAAATAGGGAAATTTATATATATACCACACAATTCTTATGCATTTACATATCTAACACCCAAAGTTTTATATTTACACTTATAATGCATTGTTATCATAAATCTATGCATGAAGAGGTGTATGTCATTTTAAAAAGATAGTGATGGTAATATTTTTGATTTGATGTTAAAGATTTGAATGTTATGCATGTAGATATGAATTTTTAGGTGTTAGATGGGTACATACTTGAGAATTATGTGGTATGTATGTAAATCCCCCTTTAAAATATTGACTTATTATATGCATGCAGGCAAAGCCTGATGCAGGGAAGCTGATTATTGCCACTATAGCGTTGTTGATTGCCTCTACAACTAATATTTTGATTGTAGGTATTCCTATACATTGAGCTTCTTTTTTTCTTGTTTTGTTGAGCTCCATTTCTGAGTATATAGGCATCAATCGCCATTATTAAGCTTTGTATATATCATACATCACGGAACATAAAAAAAACATGCAAAATTTAGTCAATTCATTTAAATTTTAACAGTACTAAAGAAAATATCATAATGCAAAATGCACTATTAATGCCATATAAATAGAATATATTCTGCTTTAACATAAATGCTTGTGCAAATTTACTAGCATCATTTGGATTTCATAATGATGTTATAGGAGTTTATGACATTGCATAGTTTGGAGAGGAAAAATTATTTGACTTCATTATTCACACATAGGATACATATATATATAGGGAAACCAATCCCTCATTATTTACAAACTTACCAAATATATTTAATCTAAAATAGGAAAGGAAATAATTTTGAAATAAAATATAAAGAAACATAAAATAGTAAGGGAATAAAACTGATCAAGAGGTTACTAAAGCTGTCCTTAATCAAATTTTCCATTATTTTTGAAGTGGTCGTTCGGCCCACCATATAAAGGATTTGAAACTTCTCATTTTTCTGCACTCCCCCTCAAGTTCAGTCATAGATGTTGTAGTGACCAAGCTTGGTATTGAACTTTGAGAAGGAGCTTAAATGAAGAGCTTTGGCGAAGACATCAACAACTTGGTGTTTTCAGGATATAGCTTTGTGATATAATTCCACCATTAAAACTTTTAGAGATAAAGTACCTATCGATTTTAATATTTTTATGGTTCTGTCATGATGCATAGGATTTTTGGCAATACACTGATGGCAGCTTGGCTATCACAAAACATATGTATAGACCTATTCGAGGTACACCCAAATTCCTTTAATAATTATTGAATCTAGATATTGTTAGAAGAAGCATGTTATTTCATTAAGAGGAAAAGTTTTTGGAGATTGAAGAAGATGCTTGTACATAAATATTATTTGGAAAAGAGCATTCACTCTTTTTCATTGTAAGAAAGAGAAAAATTTACAATAAAATCGACTTAAAAGCAGAGGTATTCCTAATCAATATATCGACTTTTAAGAAAATAGCATACCTAACTCTATATTATAAAATGTTAGCTTAAGAGTAAGTATAATGAAGCATGAAATAATCGTAAAAGAGATGAAGCTCCGTAAAAAGATAATAGAACATAAAATAATTGTAAAAGATATCAACTTTCACAAAAAGATATTCGAACGTAAAATAATTGTAAAAGATATCAACTTCCACAAAAAAATAATTTATGTAGCCACTTTTAAATAAATTTGCATTAAGAAGAGAATGAAGGAGGGAGGATCTAGTCTACTAATAGAGATGATCAATTAATAAATATGATACAATCATTGTATAAAATACAAGATGAAGAAGGAGCTGCCCGCGGGAACCATTCCGTGTGTTCTGCTACAATGTCTCGATTCTAGCTATAATTCCACATGGAACCATCCATGATCCGTGCTATATTACAGAGGGAGATTTCTGCTTGGACTAGTCCATGAGGGTCGTTTGACACTTCCTTTATGGGGATTTTCCTCCTATTTGGATTGAGTCCCACTCCTATTTCCCCAAAGTTTATAAATATATTGTTTTCGTGTTTTAGGTCAGTTTTTTGTGATTTTTTGTGAGTTTTCTATCAGGACAGTTCTTGGCGTCCCCCGTGTTCCCTTATAGGGTTGTATCCAAGGAGTGGCGTTCCTTTTGTTTCTCGCTCCGGGATGGTGCTATCCATGACCTTCCATCCTCCGCAACCTCCCCGTACGTCACAACTGTCGTTGGCATAACTACGGCAGCCACTCCCCTCCCTGGACAACATCTTTGTTGTCTTTTTAGCCCCACGCCTCCGTCCTCGTCGCCATCATTATTCCAGGCTCCCTCTTCATTGCCCCTTCAATTCCAACGCTCATACTTGTTGCCATTATTGTTTTAGCTACTATAAATCCCTTCCCCTTCACAGTAGCTCCACCACCTTATATGAAAGTACCAGTAACTCCACCACCTTCAATGGTGCTGATCTGACTACTATGGGGAGATAGAAGCTACAACAAGTGAGATCGAAGCTCCCTCAACCTTATGAGGCTGACGTGGGAGCTGCCTTTTGTGCTCTTATATAGTGCTCTGATTCTAGCTAAAGCTAGGGGTGTAAACGGGGCGAGTTGAGCTCGAGCTGCCCTCAACTTGAGTTTGAACTTGATTAATTTTATCGAGCTTGAACTTAAGTCTACGAGTTCGAGCAGGCTCACGAGCCAACTTGTTCAATATAAAAAAGAGAAAATGATATTAATTTAAAATAACTTTATAATAAGTTGACAACTAGAATGAATAATTAAAAGATAAATAATATGAAATTACATAATATACAATAAAAAAATATTATTTTCTTAATATTTTTAATACCTTAAAGATAAATTTTTGAAATTTAATATATTTTGAGTATATTTTATATTAATATTTTCTTAACGAGTCTACTCACCTATGTTTTTAAACGAACCGCTCACGAACTAACTAGTCGAGTTGGGCTGGCTTTAGCTTGGTTTGTTAGCTCATTGAGCTCAGTTCACAAGCCGCTTATTGAGCCGACTCACGAGTTGGCTTGAGTCAGTTGCACCCCTAGCTATAGCACCACATGAAGTTGTCCCGTATGGAGCCGTCTGCGATTCTTGTTACAGTCGCCTCGTATCCTTAACCTTCTCATCCTTTCCAGCCCTCCCATCGCCATAACTACTGCACACCTTTGCTACTTTTGTAGCCCCGCCTCCCTGTCGCCTCCATCTTCGCTGCCATCACTTTTTCAACACCCCTCTTGCTGCCCCTGTGATTCCAGCGATTCCACTTGCTACTTTCATTGTTCTAGCCACCAGTAATCTCCTCCCCTTCCCACCGGTTGTTGTTCCAGTCATCTCGGACCATATCCCTGCCACCTAACCGCTGTCCCAGCACTCCTGCACCGCCTCTTTGCCGCATATCCTCTGTTCCAGCCTCTGGGAACTCGAATTCCACCTTGGTGCTATCTAAGGCCACAAGGAACTGCCGTTTCTTTGTCATATCCGCCCACTTACTCCGCTCTCCCACCTTGCTGCAACCATTGAGACCCCCAACAACTACCATCACTTATGAACCACCATAGTTTGAGTTAGTGTTGTCATTTGTCACAATTTCATATATTTGTGTGTCGTGTTGTTGTAATTTTCTCTTTCATTTTTATGGTTGTAACTTTACTGTTTGCATTTCAACAATAATATTTTGTTATCTATTATTGTTTAGGTTAACTTCGATATCATAGGGACTCTTATTAGCCCTTTTCAGAATCCAAGTACTCATTTGCTTAATAAAGAAAAAGAAAAGTCATAAAACCCTCATGATAAAAGATAACGACAGTGATAAATAACTTAAGATGGACAACAAATAGAGTGTATTAATTAAATATTAGAATTTATTCACTTCTGAAGTTCCTCAAAAATGATATTATCTTTTCGTTGAGATGAAACTTTTGAACTCCATTTTTTGTCCCACTTCTTTCACCTTTTCTATCTCTTTATATTTTATTCTCAACTCCTTTACAAAAAGTACTCATTATATATATATATTTTTTTTAAAAAGCCCAAGGGCAAATATATTAATACGGAAAAGATACAGAAAGGTTGTATGAGAGGGTCTAAAAGAAAGCTTAACTCATACAATACAACACGCGCAAAACCCAAATAAAGCAAAGATACATAAAGACAAAAAACAAAAAAGTCACAAAAAGTCACAAAAGTGCTAGGAACGTCCCACTTTAGTCCTTCTACCTCGAGTTCTCGGAAGTGAGTCGGTTAACAAATTAGTAAGGTGAGTACCATTGCCCATAATAACCAAAGTATCATCTATCAGATTTCTGAGCTCGAGTAGATCTTATTCTTCTTCTTCCTGTTGGATGTGTAGACCGGTCATTTCATATCCGAAGATTAACTTATATGATCAGTAGATTCCAAAGGTGGTCGGACGGGTGTAGGTCGTTGCACATCATGATCCCCATGAACCTGAGTAACATTAACATCTTTCTTGACCTGATGATCTTGACCTGATGAGGCGGTAGTGAAGTAGTAGAAGTATCGCCTGTAATAACGGTGATAGGTTCTAGGGCAAGTGGGGTCTGAAGAATACAGAGTTTGAAGAATTTCCCTCTCCTCCACGATAGGAGGTTCCAAAGACTGGGGAGCTACAACTGGGGAATGAATGGTTGTCATATTGCCTACGGGGATATTGACGTCTTCCGAGATATTTTTCTGATGATCAATAGTGTCAAAAATTTGGTGCTTATTGGGATGAGATGGAATCACAATCTCTAGTGGAGCACTTTGTTTTTTTGGTATGAGGTTGTGGTGTAGATGGTGACATTGAGAACTGAAGTGACCGAACATACGACAGTTCGAACAATACGACGGAAAATGCTCAATCTCTACCTTCTGCCAATATCCATGGTGTTGTGTACCCAACCAGATTTCCACAGAAGCAGGTGAACTGATATCTCTTTCAACAAATACTCTGGCTTCAGAAGAATGGGACAAATTAAAAATAGAAAATTCGTCTTGAGTGGCTTTCCATAAGCTGAAGCAATAGAGTACAATACTATTTTGAGAAAAATAATTAAATTTCAGAACAGAGAGACAAATCCAAACTAGAATGAGTGGCGTTTCCGTCTGTGGGTCAAAATCCACAGACCATTTTAGAATCTTCATTGCTCTGTTATCAATCCAGATTATCCTTCTGACAGATAAATGCATGTAATCTTCTTCATTGCTAATTTTAATAAGAACGTGTATCTCATCTAATAGTCCATTTTTCTACTCTCCAACAAGGTGCATAAGTTCAAAATATTTGCGAATGAGCTCCATTTTGGGATAACCATATAGAAATTTCTAAATCAAATTCAAACGACAAGAGGAAGCAAGTTGAATACCATCATCTTCTGTAAAAATAATGACAGACTTT